AGTGGCCTCCAGCCTGGAGCAGAGGGCTAAGTAGCTAGGGGAGGGGGCGAGGAACAGGAGGCTTTCTCAGAGGGCCATGTGGCACAGGCTAATCTGCCCCTTGGGGTCTGGTCCTTGGGCTGGTGGACGAAGGGAATGCAGCCAGACCTGACTCCCTTCCTCTGTCCTGTCCCTCTGGGTCCCTCCAATCCTCTCTTCTCAAACAAGGTCATATCCCTCTAAGTGCCCACCCTGCTGTCTGGAATGACCATACCTCCTAAATACCTTGAAATACACTCTTCCCCTCCTCCCCCTCTTCTTCCTTCTCTTGCCCATCCTCCTCCTCTAGGAAGCTTTTCAGAACCCAAAAGAGGACAGAGGACTGTTGTCCTCTCAGCTCTCCGGCTAGGATACACCCCTCCCACCTGCTGCTTCCCCAGCAAAGATGCTGAGTCATGACTTGACTGGCTGAGTTCTGGACCCTGTGAGAGCAGAGAGTCACAAAAGCTGCAGTGAAGCAAGTAAACGAGCAGGCTCTGACGTCGGACAGATCCAGGCTGGGCTGCCTGTCCCAGGGCTCTTGGGGATGAGCAAACTTACCCTCTCTGTGCCTCAATTCCCTCACTGTGGAGTATATGAGACCATGTGTGAAAAGTTTTATAACAGTGCCTGGCACTATTATTGTGATGGCAATTATTCCAATCACAACATCTCAGGACCACATCAGCTCAGGAACAGGGACAGATTTTATTTTCTTGGGCTCCAAAATCACTGCGGACAGTGACTGCAGCCATGAAATTAAAAGATGCTTGCTCCTTGGAAGAAAAGCTATGACAAACCGAGACAGTGTGCTAAAAAGCAGAGACATCACTGCTGGCAAAGCAATGGTTTTTCCAGTAGTCATGACAGGTGTGAGAGCTGGACAATAAATAAAAAGGCTAAGTGCTGAAGAATTGATGCTTTCGATCTGTGGTGCTGGAGAAGACCCTTGAGAGTCCTTTGGAGTGCAAAGAGATCAAACCAGTCAATCCTAAAGGAAATTAGCCCTGAATATTCATTAGAAGGACAGATGCTGAAGCTGAAGCTCCAATACTTCGGCCACCTGATGCGAAGAACCGACTCATTGGAAAAGACCTCGATGCTGGGAAAGATTGAAGGCAGGAGGAGAAGGGGATGACAGAGGGTGACACGGTTGGATGGCATCACCAACTCAATGGACATAAGTTTGAGCAAGCTCAGGGAGCTAGTGAAGGACAGGGAAGCCTGGCATGCTGCCGTCCATGGGGTCACAGAGTCAGACATGACTGAGCAGCCACAACAAGGATCATAGGACCACAGAGGCTTAGGTCAGAAAGAGGCTTGGGCGATCGCTTCAGCAGCACATATACTAATACAGATACAATACAAATATTAGCATGGCCCCTGTGCAAGGATTACATGCAAATTTGGGAAGCATTCCATATTTTTTCATTGAAAAAGAAACATATACCCCAATGTGCATTGCAGCACTATTTACAATAGCTAGAACATGGAAGCAACCTAGATGTCCATCAACAGATAAACAGATAAAGAAGCTCTGGTACATATATACAATGGAATATTACTCAGCCATAAAAAGGAACGCATTTGAGTCAGTTCTAATGAGGTGGATGAACCGAGAGCCTATTATACAGAGTGAAGTAAGACAGAAAAAAAAAAAACAACCCAAGTATCATATACTAACACATAAATATGGAATCTAGAAAGATGGTACTGATGATCCTATTTGCAGGGCAAAAATGGAGAAGCAGACATAGAGAACAGACTTGGAGACACAGCAGGGGAAGGACAGGGCAGGATAAACGGAGAGAACAGCATGGAAACATACACTCTACCATATATAAAATAGCTAGCTAGTGGGAATTTGCTCTATGACTCGGGGAACTCAAAGGGGAGTTCCGTGACAACCTAGAGGGGTGGGAGGTGGGAGGGAGGGTCAAGAGGGAGAGGACATATGTATATGTCTCACTGATGCATGTTGATGTATGGCAGAAACCAACACAATATTGTAAAGCACTTATCCTTCAATTAAAAATAAATTAATTTTTTTAAAAAAGGAGACTTGGAGGTCATGTGGGGCAATTCACCTTCTGGGTCCCTTCCCTCCAGCCTACCTTTCTGGAAGCATCAGACCTGCAGTCTTGAGATAGAAGTCTCCTCTGTGATGGTCACACCCGTGGCACCTTCCCACGGGTACTTTGATGACAGGGGTGACCCAGGTGGATGAGTAAGCCTCTTCCTGTCCCGCTCCCTCTCCCAAAAGTTCCATCCCTGGCCCCAAGGAAGTGTTTGAACCAGGAGGATCACACCCAACTCCATGCTGAGCCTGTCAGCTGGGGCTCAGGGCCTATAAAGGCCTCAGCCTCAGGACCCTCCTGCTCAAAGCTCATGATCTCTAGGACTCTGGGGCTGGGCAGAGTGGGCAAGGATAAAACCCAACACTGACTCTTTCAAACCTAGCCCATGATGCAGCTGCAGGCCAAGACCTATGGGTATCTGGCTCTCTCTTTCCCAATCCTGGCCCAGCCTGCAAGAACTGGGCTTGGGAAAAGCTTGTTTATGATCTGAGAGGTAGGCACCATACGCAGAAGACAGTCTGAGCTCTAAGGAGATGAAGGCATGGCAATGGGCAGTCTGCATGCGGATGGGGAGGGAAAGGGGCAGGAGAGACACCCCCAGAGGGCTTCTGATGGAGCCCTCAGCCTGGATGAGGTTGGAGGCCTGTTGGTATCTGGCAGCTAGTGCAGAGTGTGGTGTCCAGGAAGCCTCCAGCCCTGCCCCTGGGAGAGGTTGTGTCAGGTGGATCCCAGGCTTGGGGGTCAGGGACGTTCCTTGAGTCTGGCCAGTTCTCCAGACAGGTGTGGCCCTGCCCTAACCAGTCAGGTCACTCTGGGCCATCACCTGCCTTGGTGGGCTCCTTTGTTCTTTTCCTGCAGCATTTCTGCCCTGTGCCCCACTGGCACAAGCCTGGGTCGTACCAGGGGGGTCGGTGCGCTGGGTGGGTTTAGCAGCTGCTTGGGCCAGGGGAAGAGGTAAAAGGGGACAGGCAGAACTGACAAGCTGCACCCCCCAGTCTGTGCCCCAAAGCCCACTTGTAGATCTCATCCCACTTGCCAGACCCAAGCCCTTGCTTGTAGGCCTTTGAGAGGCTCTGGGCTCTTGAGGAGGTGTTGGGCCCCCGAGGGGGTGTCATAGAGGATGGGGAAGGAAGCTCCTCTGGTGGAAGCACCTGGTGCAGCCTGTTGGCCCTCCTTCCCCACTAGGCCTCACCCTCTTTTCTCCTTCCCTTCCAGGGCTGCTCCTCAACTTCCTTTTCGGGAGCCCTTACAGATTCCTCCCCACTCTGGCCAGGCTCAGCTCTTCATCTTGCCCCAAGTGTCAGGTACCTGGAACTGTGGGCTTTGCCCCCATCCCTGGCTGGCCACTAAGGACCTCTAGGAAGTAAAGCAGAAACATGCAGCTCTGCCAGGTGTGGAGCAACTAGGTACATCCCTGGGCACCAGACCTGGCAAACAACCTTCCACTGCTGCTGCTGGAAGCAAAGGAAACAACAAGCCAAGCTCCCAAGCTCTGCACCTGGTGCCCAGAGCCCAGGGATGATCCTCCAGGTGCCCAGAGCCGTCAGGAAAAAGAAGAGTGAAGGGCCAAGGGGAGCACAGCCCTGGAGGCAACAGGCATTCCTTCTCAACCATTGGGCTGGGCCAGGCTCTGCCATCCCGGGAGACATGCCACCCCCCAATGGAGCAAACGGCCACTCACCCCAAGCCACTTCTTCGACTGCAGCCCGCAGGCAAGACAAGTTCATCTTACAGAGGGCCTCCTCCTTCCTGCCTCTTACCTCTCCTTCCCCTGATCTTATCCCCAGGAACAGAGACACCCTCTCCTTTTTCTAGTACTGCTCCCTTCACTCCTTCCTAGCCCTGCTTGCTCCACATTCCCCTCCTCCAAGAAGTCCACCACGGTTTCTCCCCTGCTCCAAGCTGTTGGCTACTGAACTCCTCCCCCATCCTATCCCCAGCACAAGTACCCTTGTGTACAAATGTTAGCTCACATGGAAGAGCTGCAAGGGTGGCAGGGAGTTATTCTTGGTATTTATTATTACTCAGGGGCTTCACTGGTAGCTCAGCTGGTAAAGAATCCACCTGCAACACAGGAGTCCCCGGTTTGACTCCTGAGTTGGGAAGATCCCTTGGAGAAGGGACAGGCTGCACTCCAGTATTTATGGGCTTCCCTGGAGGCTCAGACTGTAAAGAATCCGCCTGCAATGCGGGAGACCTGGGTTCAATCCCTGGATTAGGAAGATCACCTGGAGAAGGGCATGGCAATCCACTCCAGTATTCTTGCCTGGAGAATTCCCATGGACAAAGGAGTCTGGTGAGGTACAGTCCATAGGGTCGTAAAGAGTTGCTGAGTAAAGAGTCGTAAACACAGCTGAGCGAATAAGCGAATAAGCACAGCACACAGCATTACTCTTCAGACATTTTAGAGTTTTCATAACACTTTCCCTGACAACTGACTCAAATCATCTTTAACATTACTAAGGTAGGCAGAAAGGGCTAAGTATCCATCTTTCTATAGAGGACACTGGGGCCCAGAGAAAGAGGAGATTTGACCAAGGTCACGGAACCTATTAGAGGACTCGACCCAGGTCTCCTGACCCTCCGTGACTCCGGGACGCCCGCGCGGACTGGCACTGCTTATTAGTCTGGGAGGGCCTCCTGGAGGAGGTGTACCGCGCGCTGCCTCAGGAGGGAAGGCAGAGACCCAGGTGGAAAATCGGCGCGGGCCTCGGTCGGCTGGGCGGCGTGGGAACCCGCCAGGCTGGAGCGAGGGGAGGGGGCGCCGCGCTCACCGCAAGGTTCCGCCCCTCGGCGGGCGCAGACAAAGGGGTCGCTGTGCCCAGTCGCCCCCTCCCCTTGCTCGGCGCCCCGCGCCCGCCCCCTCTCCCCAAAGCTGCTTTCAATTTAAACGCCTCCAACCAGCGGGCGCTGCCCCGGGGGGCGCGACCGCAGAGCCGAGCGCCCCTGTAATTTCCGCGGGGAGCTGACCGGCTCAAACACGGCCCCGCGGTGCCCCGACCGCAGGCCCCGAGACCGGAGACGGCGCCCAGACGGCCTTGCCCGGGTCGTGGGAGCGCCGCTGGGGCGGCCTCCTCCGAGGGCCCAGCCTGGCCCCGCCGCCTCCTCCACGCAGCCCAATGCCACCAAGAAGCCTGGTGCTGCCCCCATCGCTGCATCTCTAAAAACCTATCCCTCGCATCTCTAAAAACCCAACTCCCTTTGGGGAAGGAAACCTGGTCAGGAGTACCCATTCTGAAGGACTAGAGGCTCCCTGAGGGCAGGGATTAGTTCTCTTCAGACTAGGGGCTTGTAAGGGAAGGTATTGGGTCACTGCTTCCCCCAGCAGACTGGGGAGATCTTGGATGGCAAGGGCTTGGGGTCTCCCTAAAAGACAGGGACTCAGTGAAAGATGTCTGTAAAGCATGGAAGCCTGGTGCTCAGACCTAAAGTAAATTTTTGTGCTTTGCTTGTTAGTTAATACTACTACTGGTTACAGTTTCCCCAAAGCTAAGGCTCCCGGGAAGCAGGCATGTCCCACCTTTCGTCCCTTTCCCCCAATCCACAAGTGCCTACCCAGAACAGTCAGGAAAGAGAGGACACATCTGCCCCCTCCCCAGGGACCTTCTTGGAAGATAAGTCTAAGTGACCTGAGCTGGAGTTCCTACTTGCCTCTGAGGAATGGAAGGGAGGGTCCTGCCCCTAGGTTAAAGAGGAGGGGACCCCAGCCTCTGGGCCTCCAGGGAAGGACCCAGCATGGATTGTCTCAAAGGGGTAGGTGGGTAAGAGCCACGGACATGGGGAATCTATCTGCAGATCCTCACCTTAGCACAGGTCAGGCAGAAAGGCCAGCTGGACACCAGGAAGAACTTTTGAGAACTGGCAGGGAGCTCCGGGGGCTTCTCCAGGTAGGGCTCTGTGTTGGGATGGTGGACATGCCTGCCAAAGCTCCCTTCTGGCCTGAAGTGTGTATTCTGTTTCCTGCTCCCCTCAGCCTGGGAGCTCTGCCCACCCAACCTCCCTTCTGAGAATTCTGGAGGGGGCATTTTGAGTTAGTACATACGAGTGAATTGTCTAAAGTGCCTGATGTCCCTGGATCACTGCTATACTCCGTAGATGGGGCTCCACTGGAATTTTCCAGATCATGGTGTGTGTGTGTGTGCGTGTGTGTGTGTGTGTGTGTGTGGTGTGTGTTGAAGGAGCACAGCTGGGGGCCCTGCTTGTCCTGAGTGCTCTGCTCCACCTTGTCCCCTCCCCCATGTCCCAAACACCCCTCTTTCCAGCCTGGCTTTTGTGGTGAAGCTAATCAGAAGTAATTATGGGGAAGGAGGGGTCCTTAGAGGGACCCCACAGAGACCACCTCATCCGCCCCGGCCCAGCCGTGGTGGCCCTGGCCCCCGGGGCCTAGGCCTCGCTCAGCTCCTCCTGGTGAGAGTGAAGCCAACGATGGCACCCCTGCGCACAGCTCCCCTCTCTCCCTGCCGACCTAAGCCCGCAGCCGCAGGTAAGGTCACACATCGGGGTTCCCCTCAGTTGGCCCCCAGGTCTCCTCCATCCTCATTCGTTCATCCCGCATTTACTGGCACCTTCTCTGAGCCAGGGCCCACGCTGGGCACTGAAGTGACTGCTGCCTGCCCTGGGACGTGGGTCAATGTAGACTCTGCAGAGGGGAAGGCAGAGGGCCCCCTCCAGAGGCACAGGCCGTTTCAGGGAGGCCCTCCCCTCACCACCATCTTGCTGATGCTGAGGGGGCTTGGGGGACAGAGACCATCAGCTCCAGAAGTGGTGAGGGCTTCCTGACTCCGCACTCCTAACCTGGCAGGCCACCCAGTCCCGCCTCCCACCGGTGTTGACAGATGTCAGGCCAGCCCAGCTCCATCTTCCTGTCCTGCCCCTGCCCTCCTCTGGCAGCCTCTTCCACCCACTTCTGTTCTCCTTGCTTCTTTGCTCAGTGGCGCCTTAGCACGTGGAGACCCTCAGTCAGCACACATGGGGTTCAGAGCCTTAGACACCTCAGAGAACAGCTGTCCTCTCTCTTTCCCACACGCACACAGAATCTGAGGCCAGGATGGGTGGCGGGGCGAGTGCAGGCAGTCAACGCAGCAGAACGAAATCCTGGTCTTCTGACTCCTGGCCCAGTGCTCTTCCTGGGGAGTCCTTCTTGATCTGCACCTGAGGGCAGTTTGGGTCTGCCCCTTCCTGCATCCCTTTACTGTGCCCTGGAGAACTGAGGAGCAAAGAGGGTCTCCACCATCTTGCCTCCTGCCCTGCCCCAGTAGCCTGGGCCCGAAGATGGGTGGTGGGGTGGGAAGGACCAGAGTGCGGCTCAGTTGAGGGTCTCTAATTTGCTCCTGCCCCTTGATGTCCAGAAGAAAACAGGCCTTCTGTGCCCAAGAGACTTCCAAGCAGAAGTGGAGGTCAATGCCCCCCCCCACCGCCCCGGAGGTGCCAAGGTGGTAATTAGGCTTGGGGGTGGGCCCTGAAAGGATGGGGGTGGGGCGGCCATTATCCCCGGCAGCTGAGCTGGGCAGAGGAGCTGTGTGGTCTGGGCAAATGGGTGGTTTGTAGGTGGTCTGGGGAATGAATGAGTGAGTGTTTGGGAGGGAAGCTGGTGGGGGGGAGCAGAGAGAGGGGAGGGAGCAGGCGGAGGGTAGAGCAAACCTGGGTCGTCTCTCCCTGGACTCACTGGTCTGGACCCCCACCGCTGCTCTGAGGCATCACCAAGGAGAGTCCCATGAGGCACCTGGGGGTCTCAGGGATGCTTGCCCGTGGCCTGCAGCAGTGGGCCACCTGGGCCACCACCTGGGGTAGGGGGTGTTGAGGAGAGGATGGGGTTGGGGGAGGGGGAGGGGGCCTGGCGAGCTCTCTGCTGAGATCATGGCTCTAGGAAGCCACCTGCTCCCTCAGCTTCAGTGGGGAGAGGGGAGGAGGCTGGCGGAGGTGGTTCAATACAGGGTCCCTGGCATGCGGTGTAGTGCTGGCCTACTGCCCCTGTCCCCACTCCCAGCCCTTGTCTGATCCCTCTCACTGCAAGGAAGAATTCCTTCCTGGACTGAGACGGGCCCTCTGATTGAATCCCTGCCCCTGTCTCAGCCTCACGGGAACTGCGAATCCACGAGATGACCTCTTCTTCTAACCCTCAGGATCGCCTGTCCACTGCTTCTCCACTCAGGCTGCACGGAGTAAACTATTAGTGACTTCACCGCCCTGAGCTTTGGTTTCCCTACGTGTGAAATATAAGTAATACAGTATTAACTCTGAGGATTAAGGAAGCCAGCCAGGGTCCGCATTCTTAAAGTGGCAGTTGTGGCAATGATTAATGCCCAACAAGATGTTTCTTGTGTCCAGAGGGTAATCCTCCTCCTAGGAATGGCTACCTGGAACCCAGGACCTGGCTGTGACCCCTGGCATAGGGACCAGGACTGTGGCAGGCAGGCCATGAGGTGAGCAGGTCATGGGGAAGGGGTGGGGTTACTGGACTGTCCAGTGGCACCTGCTGGGGCCTGGGGCACATTCCTCCTCCCCCGCTCTCCCCACCTGCCAGCTGCCACCTGTGATGTCAGCGCCACTGCTCACCTGGCTTCTACAGCAAGATAGAGTGCAGTGAGACTAGCTAGCAGACACAGCTGCTCCGAGGGAAGCAATGAAGTGAGGGAGCAGCCCCATCTGGACAGCCTGCTGGGGCACCTTAGCTGCCCGCTCTGCTGGAGGGACTAAGGGTCTCTCGGCTGGTTTCACCTTGGAACCCTCAGCACCCTGGGAGGATACTCACAACAAGGCTGGATCCCCACACTCAGACTGGGATCCCCCTGAGGCAGGGACTGGACCCGCACCATCAGAACAAAGGATTCCTGAAGGGGAGCTCACCCAAAGAACCTGGCCCACGGGTACTGGACTGGGATTTGATGGGCCTAGCCCCTCTCTGGGCTCAACAGTCTTATCGCACTCCTTATTCACAGCCAAAATTCTCCATTGCTGGAAAAGTCTGCAGCAAAGCCAGAAAGAACTAGAAAATCTGGGAGACTGTCTGCTGCCCTGTGATCTAGAAGTGGCTGAGGTCAGGGGGAAGGACAGGGCCTGTGGAGAGGCAGACTCTACATTAGGGTCATTCCCAAGTCAGTCTCCTTCTTCCTTTCCCTCCTCTCCCTCTGTGCTCTGTCCCCACTGAGCTAGAGCTGGAAGGGACTGGTTGGCGTTTAGTGGTGGGGGTGCAGCCAAGGGGAAGAAGGAATCTTTATCTCCCGCCTGCAGTCAGGCCAACATAGCAGCCTCTGGGGGCCCACTCCTGGGTGGATGAGACCTTGAGGATGGAAAAGCCCAGATTCAGAGCCAATGACACTTATACCTTCAGATGTCAGCACCCACTCTCCCAGGAGAAAAGAGAGCCCCTTTCCCACCATTCCCTACTCACTCCAAATATGGATCATCTGGGCTTGGGGGATGAAGGAGGAGGGGATCTGCCCTAAATGCGATGCTCTGTCCAAGGAACTGGGAGGATTCCGAGGCACAGTGGGAAGTATCAGTTGGGAGTCATTTAGACAGAGAGGACAGAGCTTTGGAGAGAGGAAAAGACTAGAAGACCATCTTGCCCATGCCTCCCTTCCACGCCAATCCTTGCTGAATACCTCTCAGAGAATGTCTCCTGTTTTCAGGTCTATCTTCATGTGCATGCTGGAGAAGGAAATGGCAAACCCACTCCAGTGTTCTTGCCCGGATAATTCCATGGGCAGAAGAGTTTGATGGGCTACACTCCGTGGGGTCTCAAAGAGTCATACACAACTGAGCGACTAACACACACACACACACACACACACACACACACACACACACACCATGTGCATACAATACAGAAGTCTCCACATCCTCACCTCAAAAATCAAAACACGTTCATTAAAGGCCTACTGTGTTCCAGACCTCCTGTGTGCTGAAGGGTGGTGTTCTAAGCATGAATGAGCAACACTCCCCTCCCTCACTAGCTCACAGTCTAGGGGCTGTAACACACAAGGCAGATTCCAGTTCAAGACAGAGTGAAATATAAGCTAGGCAGAGACGCCAAGAAATCTGGGTGTACAGACAGGGAAATTCATCCTGACAAAAGATCAAAGATAACCTTCCCAAGCATCCAAAGGGTAATGCAGAAAGTAATTCAGATCCAATACCCTGAAGTGCCTCTTCTGCCTAGAAGCCTTCTTTGAGTCCCCAGTCTAA